TAAAGAGGTTTGAGAAGACGCAGGAGTCCAAAAGGCCCTCAGGAGCTTCCGCCTTGTTTAGAGGTTAGCTTCTCTCTCCTCCCAACTTTTGCAAATTTACTTCGTTTTCTCCGCTTTGTATAGATGATCTGCCCCTGAAACATCTTATAACTACTCTCTGTAACGCACAAACATATTTGTTGGTTTATCAAATGGCAATTTTTTTGTGTTTTGTGTTATTTTTAACTGGAGTTGTTAGTATCATAAAAGAGGAAACACGATATGCGTATAGCCGCATGCTTTAGTTGTATCCTATTTTTGCGATTGTGTATATACTTAAGAGATTTACGTGTAGAGAAGGGGGGAAGCAAAAGCAACAGCGGAAAAATGGACTACATGTATGGACCAGGGAGACACCATCTTTTTGTACCGGGACCAGTGAACATCCCGGAACCGGTGATCCGGGCGATGAACCGGAACAACGAGGATTACCGGTCACCGGCCATCCCGGCACTTACAAAGACACTGTTGGAGGACGTGAAGAAGATATTTAAGACAACATCTGGGACACCTTTTCTGTTTCCCACGACAGGGACCGGTGCTTGGGAGAGTGCCTTGACCAACACGCTATCTCCTGGGGACAGGATCGTCTCGTTTCTGATCGGACAATTTAGCTTGCTTTGGATTGATCAGCAGAAAAGGCTAAATTTCAATGTTGATGTTGTTGAGAGCGAATGGGGACAAGGTGCTAATCTCCAAGTCTTGGCCTCGAAGCTCTCACAAGACGAGAATCATTCCATCAAAGCAATTTGTATTGTCCACAACGAGACCGCGACTGGAGTCACCAATGACATCTCTGCTGTCCGAACCCTCCTCGGTTACTACTCACAACCATCTCTTTAATTTGTATGTAGCGTTTGCTCTGTTATTAGTTTCACTTACACACATATATACGCGTCTTCACACAGATCACTACAAGCACCCGGCTTTGCTGCTTGTGGACGGTGTTTCGTCCATATGTGCAATTGATTTCCGAATGGATGAGTGGGGAGTGGACGTGGCCTTGACCGGCTCTCAGAAAGCCTTATCTCTTCCAACAGGGCTTGGGATTGTGTGCGCAAGTCCAAAAGCCTTGGAAGCTACAAAAACCTCAAAGTCCCTCAAAGTCTTCTTTGATTGGAGTGACTACCTCAAGTTTTACAAGCTCGGAACGTATTGGCCATACACACCTTCCATTCAGCTCCTCTACGGTCTTAGAGCTGCTCTTGATCTTATCTTCGAGGAAGGGCTTGAGAATATCATTGCTCGTCATGCTCGATTGGGAAAGGCCACCAGGTAAACTACAAATTTCAGCTCTTCTAATCCATAATCGCTTCTGACATGGGGTGATCAAAACGTATTAAAGGAATCATACTTAGTATTGGAATCCATGATCTTGAATAATTTGATACATTGTGAGTAGAGTGAGTTTGGTTGTGGATATGATCATGTACGTAGGCTGGCGGTGGAAGCGTGGGGGCTGAAAAACTGCACACAGAAGGAAGAGTGGATAAGTAACACAGTGACAGCAGTTGTTGTGCCTCCTCATATAGACAGCACAGAGATTGTGAAAAGGGCGTGGAAGAGGTACAACCTAAGTCTTGGCCTTGGTCTCAACAAAGTTGCTGGAAAGGTTTTCAGAATTGGACACCTTGGCAACGTCAATGAGGTACGTTGGTATTATATAACCGTAGTCCAATTTTAATTTACTCAAACTCTAATCAACATTACAAAATGAAACGCAGTTGCAACTTTTGGGGTGTCTGGCTGGAGTGGAGATGATACTGAAGGAT